CAAAAGGGAGAGGGCAAGGACTCTCAAATCTGCTTTGAGTACAAAACTGCAGGCTAGATCTCCGAGCTATTTCCTGCTGTTTCAGCAACTGGGGAGTGTGAGAAACAGCACCACCCGGTTTCCTTGAATTTGGAGAACAATATCTAGTGAAAGGGTGCATTAGTTCATTTTAAAACAATGCAAGGCCATGATAGCTTTCTAGCTCAGTTACCTTCCATTCCTCCCTCATCAGTCAGGATTCAATCAGAGAAAATAACCAGTAGGAAGTATATATGAAGACATTTATTGCAAGGAATTGGCTTACATGATTGGCCAGATAACACACTCCTCGCTAGCCAAGTCAAAAATTTGTAGGGCAGGCCATTAGGAAGGGCATGTTGGAACTCTCAGGCATAGGCTGCACCTGCAGTTACAAGCAGATGTTTTCTTTTGGGAAAGCTCATTTGTGCTCTTAAAGCCTTTCAACAATTAAGCAAAATCCATCTAGATAATAATCTACCTTATTTAAAGTTAAGTGACATGCACTTTATTCACATCTACACAATAACTTCACAGCAACACCTAGATTTGTGTTTGAAGCCAAGTTTGACACATAGAACTAACCGTCAGGCCTCTCAACACAATCCCTCCATTCCAGCCAAACTTACTTCACCAGAACACAGCTCTGCAGTTATGGGATCCAGGCCTCTGCATAAATGTAATTTGCATGGACTTCCCTCTCCCTGTCTATCTGCCAGTGAAAGTCTGTCTTCCTATCTGGCCCATCTCAATAGCTTTCTCAAAGACTATCTATCTAAAACCTCAGAGCCATTGCTATTCTCCTTGATATCTGTGAATTCTCAAATTATTAGTTACCTTTCTTTTTCTGTCTTTTCCCTGAGATTACAAACCTCTTAGAAACAAGGATGGTGTTTTCTATCACGGCATCCTTAGCTCAGAGACCTTAGGAATATATGCAGTGAGGATGAGCTCATTCACAATGTACAACCCAGGAAGGTAGGATCCTTCCTACCCAGCTTTATTCATCCCAGGAATTATCTAGACAAAGAATTCAGGCAAGGGGAAGAAGTATTTTCTTCTCAATTACTCAAGTTTAAAAAAAAGAATTAGGAATTAAGAGTATAAAGTTCAGAACTGTACGCCTTTCACAGTTCTAATATGCTATTATAAGCTACTGTCCTAATCCAGGTTTCTCAAAGCCCAGGAGTGGGCCTTTATATTTCACATACTTAGGCACAATCTTGGCAAAGTTCCAGCTCCCTCTCCTGCCAATACTTCCAAGAACTGTCTTCATCTTTCATCCTGAAGTGATTCTCTTTTTTTGTAGACAATTTACTTTTTATGATTTCCATGGGCCACACCCAAGAAGAAATCTATAGTAGTTCTTTATTTTTAAAAATGTCAGAGCAAATCATATATCAGAGAGTTATCAAAAGTGAAAGATTGAAATTTAAATATAGAGTGCTTAAGCTAGTGGTAGTTCCCAACTAAAAATCACTTTGGGGACTTTAAAAAAATTCATGAGGCCAGACACAGTAGCTTCTGCCTGTAATCTCAACACTTTGGGAGGCTGAGGCAGGAAAACCCTTTGAACTCAGGAGTTTGCGAACAGCCTGCACTACATGGTGAGACACTGTCTCTAAAAAAATAAAAAATAAAAATAGCTGGACATGGTAGCATGCACCTGTAGTCCCAACTACTTGGGAAGTTGAGTTGGTAGAATCACTTGAACCTGGGAGGTTGAGGCTGCAGCGAGCCAATATAGCACCATTGCACTCCAGCCTGGATGACAGAGCAAGACCCAGTCTCAAAAAAAAAAAAAAAGAAAAAGAAAAAATTGGTGAATTTAGGCCCCATGATGGACCAAATGAATTAGAATGTCTGAGTGTCAAATCCACAGACTTATATATGCTGAAATTGTCCTATAGATTATCCTAATTATCTTCTGGGTTAAGAATCATTGATATCCATTTGAGTCACCAAGGTGAAATACACACGTTCCACCTCCAAGGTAGTAATGATCTACTTGTTTCTCTGTAGAATAAAGTTATCCTAAAGCAGATGGTCAACGTGGCTTGCACACTGCCAGATACTTCTTGCTAATACTATATAAACACTGTTTCAGGGTTCACTTCTCAATTTATGCTATGAGGAACCCAAAGAGGCCAACATCAAATATAGTATGTGCAGTGGAGCCAGCTATGCTGAACCTGGACACACTATCTGAAGTGTGTATATACATATATACACACACAGATGTCAGTTATAGCTCTTTAGCCATCCTTTCTTCCCCTACCACTTTTCCTTCTTGAATTATTTGCCCTCATTTTCCTATACTCATCTTTAAAAGCTTTGCTCACCAGGTCCAAGTGTCTCTTAATCTAGCTAATGACATTGGACCTAGAGAGGTTAAGTGACCTGCATAAGGTCACTCAGCTCAATGTTGGTAGAGCTAGGACTTGAATTAGCCTCTGACTCCACCCTCAAGCTCCTTCAACTACTTGTTGTCTCCCAGAATTTTGATAAGATGCCCTAACTCTCGGGTCCCTGCAAGCAGGGCTGGCTTGTTGGATCTGTGACCTATGCAAGCTGCATGGGCCCAGTGCTTATAGGAATCCCACACTTGGTTTAGTGCTCTGCTGTCAATAAATCCTTATTTTTTTTTTTTTTTTTTTGAGATAGAGTTTTGTTCTGTCGCCCAGGCTGGAGTGCAATGGCGCACTCAGCTCACTGTAAACTCCACCTCCCGGGTTCAAGCAATTCTCCTGCCTCAGCCTCCTGAGTCCTGGGATTACAGGTACACACCACCATGCCCAGCTAATTTTTGTATTTTTAGTAGAGACAGGGTTTCACCATGTTGGTCAGGCTGGTCTCAAACTCCTGACTTCATGATCTGCCCGCCTTGGCCTCCCAAAGTGCTGGAATTATAGGCTAAATTCTTAATTTTTTAACAACTATTCTGTATATTCATTTTGCACTGGGGCCTGCAAATTATGTAGCCAGTCCTGCCTAAGAGTAAAGAGAGCTGCTCCTGGCTCTTGAGATGAGTGATCATCCACGTAGAAACTTGGAAAACATGTAGAGCTGCAGCTGAATTGTCAGAGTCAGCCTCAGATCTGACCATAAATGCCCATCCTTAAGGAGATCTTGGCTTCCCTCAATCCTCAGCTCCAATCTGGAGAGACTTGTGGAAAGAAGCTTCATTCTTCAAGTATGTGCTAACTGAGTTATCATTTCAACTTTCCTTTGACCCTTGCTGGAAGCCAAAGTAATTACATTTCTGTTGAACTTAGTATTTGCTAATAGAAATAGTGACTAATTAGAGAACATTAAAAAAATTTTTTCCTCCCCACTACAGGTCTTATTTTGGAAATCAATACATGTAAATCACATTATTAACATACCAATTATCACCCACATGTACTTTGATGCCTTTACAAACAATCCTTATTTTGAGAAACTCTCTCAAACAAATCCAGGGCAAACTTTTTCTGTTTCCCTGGTGCTCTTAATGGCAATATTATTCTTTAAAGCCTTTTGCCTTGTTTATAATTTAACAAGGTAATACAACAATTGGAAGCATTGCTTTTTTTAAAAAAAAGACATCCCCTTTACAATTCAGAAGAGAAGCATATTTAAAAGAAGAAATGGCTAATGCATTTTGTGTTAAGCATATTTTCATGAAAGCATTTTAGAGCTAAAAAATACCTTACAAATCACATTTAATGTCCTTATTTCCCCCACAAGAATAGAGATTGTGATTTGCTCAATGAACAATGGGGAATTCATAGCACACAGGAAGAAAGCCCAGGGCTACTGACCCTATCTAGATCACCACTTTTTGTGCTTAAATAGTTCCAAATATGTTGGAGTAATGGTCACTAAATATTACTCCAGAGTTCAAACTATGACTTCAGCTGAAGTGGCATATAATTTTAATGGTGAAAAGGAAAATAAAGCCTCCAGTGTTCTCTCTAAAGATGGCAAGAATCACTATTACATTGTATGTCACTGTTCATCAAGAATATTACTTTTGGAGAAACACAAAATATATCACATATATCTTATACATAACACTATATTAAAATCTTTAAGAATATCATCATTGTGAGACTCTTTGCTATGTCAGCTTCTTCTTATGAAGTTCTCATGACCACAGGACATGTGATTTGACCACAGTGTATCTGAAGCAGAGAAGAGTAATTACTAGCCATGTAGAAACTGCTTAGAGGGCTGATGAGAGCCATTTGGTCCTTTGGTCCTTACCAATGTAGCTTGAACATACCTGTATCATTACCTTCATCTTCCTGACTCATTCTTATTCATGCGTGTGTGTCTCTTACAAGACTGTGAGCCTCTTAAGGGCAGGAACCACATGTTTGCTGTTCATTTTTTCATTTCCAGCATCTAGTTCACTGCCTGGCACATTGTAGAAAATAAATGAATAAAGAAATGAATGGGGCCAGGCGCAGTGACTCACGCCTGTAATCCCAACACTTTGGGAGGCTGAGGCGGACGGATCACAAGGTCAAGAGATTGAGACCATCCTGGCCAATGTGGTGAAACCCTGTCTCTACTAAAAATACAAAAATTAGCTGGGCATGGTGGTGCGCACCTGTAATCCCAGCTACTCAGGAGGCTGAGGCAGGAGAATTGCTTGAACCCGGGAGACAGAGATTGCAGTAAGCCGAGATTGCGTCACTGCACTCCAGCCTGGCGCCTGGTGACAAAGCAAGACTCTGTCTCAAAAAAAAAAAAAAAAAAAAGAAATGAAATGGATGGATGGATGGATGAGTTAACATCTTAACATATTAGGGACTGCCTGTATTTTCACATGGATTTGTTACAGTAAAAGAGTAGTACAATCATTGAATGAAGGCAGGAAAAGGTATGTTATATTTTGGAAAAAAAAGCTCTCTATGCCTTGTATAATGTTCATGATGTAGTAAATGTAATTAAATGATTAAAGAGTAAGGAGAGACATAAATGTATCCACTTACTTGCAAGCAAACCAACTCCACTTGCCAGGGATCCAACCCAGGCTGTTTTTCCTTTCCCTTCACCAAAGGCATCCAGCCATTCTATGTACAGGACTCCAACAGCCAGCGGGGATCCATAACACAAAAACTGAGTAAAGAAGGAGACAAGCACAATCACCCAGCCCCATCCACCATCAGGTGACTTTTTAAGTTCCATTGTAAGAAAAAATCAAGATGTTTCTCTGCAGGTCCTAAACAAACAAACAAACAGAAAAGAAAAGCATATTTAGAGTGTGGCAGGGCACAGCATTTGGGGTTAAAATATCTCCTCCTAAAGTGAAAAAAAAATGTTCTCCAAAGACGAACACAGAAAAGCATAAAATATCACTGACATAGCAAGTTAACAAATACATTTGCATTTATAATTTGACTGAATGATGCATCCACATGGTATGATTTTTTTTAAATTATAAAAAGACATAAAGTGAAATATACCCTTCTCCACCTTGTCCACCTTCACCAGGCTCCCACCCTGCCCAACCAGAGAGAAACACTAATTTTAGTTTTTTAGTTTTTAGTTTCTTGGGTTCCCTAGGAAGCAGATTCCTAGCAAGACGGAGACTGATTAGGGATGCTCTCGAGTTGATGCCTATGGAAGGGCACAGATGGCAAAGGGAGAAGATCAGCTGCAGATAACCTTGCAGTTATAAAGAAGGAGATTTCTAAAGTTGGGATGACCCTTCAGAGCTGTCCTGAAATGGGTGCTGAGGGCTGCCCTTCCACACTTCCATGTTGATCATGCATTGGATGTGGCTACCCCGGAATGGGTGGTGATCCAAGGTGAGGTGGCTCCCTTCAGAGGAGGCAGTCTATCCCCATAAGGGCTGACAGCATTCTTGATAGCTGCGGCAAGGACTCTGTTATTCCTGAGGGGAGCCTAGAGGGGAACTGGCAGCACATTACAATGTTCACCAACTGGAGTATTTTTCCAGTTTCTTTACGCATTTATAAGCACAACCATGCACATATTCTCAATGGCTCTCTTTTTCATTAAAAAAAAGTAGCATATTATACATTACATTCCCCACTTTCCTTCATCCACTTAACATCCTGAGAGATTTTTCCCCATCAATACATAGACAGTCATTTTTATAAGTACATAGGATGCATGTATACCATGTGGCTGTATGCTTGCTTATTTATTTACTTTTTGAATAGGCAAAACACTTGCATGTTTCAAAAATGAAAAAAAGACAAAAGATATACAACCCCTATCTACCTATTTTCCTTCTAAGCCTTAGTTCCTCCACAGGTAACCAATGCCTTTTGTTTCTTGTATATCCTTCTAAAGTTTCTTTATGCATACACCAGCAAACTCAAATATAGATTTCCTCTCATTTTCAGCACTTTATATACATTGGTATGTGCCTTGTTCCCTTTCACTTGACAAATATCTTGAAGCTCTTTCACATCAGTGCATACTGACCTCCCTTATTCATTTCTTTTCTTTTTTTTTTTTTGAAACAGAGTCTCACTCTGTTGCCAGGTGCCAGGCTGGAGTGCAGTGGCACAGTCTCGGCTCACTGCAACCTCTACCTCCTGGGTTCAAGCAATTCTCTTGTCTCACCCTCCCCAGTAGCTGGGAATACAGGCGCACACCACCACGCCTGGCTAATTTTTGTATTTTTAGTAGAGACGGAGTTTCACCATGTTGGCCAGGATGGTCTCGATCTTTTGACCTAGTCATTCACCCGCCTCGGCCTCCCAAAGTGCTGGGATTACAGGCTTGAGCCACCGTGCCCGGCCCTTATTCATTTCTTACTGCTGCACTATATTCCAGCATGGGACTTTATCTTTGTTTGTTTGACCAGTCCCTATGACTTGAATGAAAAACCATGTGCAGTGAAAAACCTTACACATTCATTTTTTTTTTTTTTTTTTTTTGCTTATAGGCATATCTGTTAGGTAAAATCCAAAAGTGGAATTGCTGAATCAAAGAGAATATACATTTTTAATTGTAATTTCAGAAAATATTGAAAAAGGGTGAGGTAGGAGGATGGCTTGAGCCCAGGTATTACCAAATTGAGTTAAAGAGAATTGAACTAATTCACATTGTCTCCAGGATTTTGAGTGTGTTGTGAAACTTGGGTTTTTGCAAATTTATTGGTTTTAAAATAGCATTTCATCACAGTTTCAACTTGCATTTCTTATAGTATGAATATTGTACATTATTTTGAAGACAAAGAGCCAGTTGAAATTCCTAATTCTTAGCTGTATGTGGATATTCTATTCTGTTCCATTGGTCTGTCTATTCACACATCATTGCCACATTTGTTTCATAACAGAATCTTCTTTTATAAAAGTCCTATTACTATATTTTAACCTCTGCTGGGGCTTTTTCTCTCTTTACGATTACACTACTTTTGCAATATTTTGTGGCTATTCATATTTCCTGTTTATTATGAACTTCACAATCAGCCTGTCTGGTTCAAAAAGAAATCAGATGATGCTTTCATTAGGACAGTTTCAGTCAAAAATTGATGTAAGGAGAATTGACCTTTTATGATGTCAATTGATTCTAAGAACATAATATGTTTTGCGTTTGTTCAAGTCTCCATATATGTTCTTAGTGTTTAAAATATTCCTCAACATTTCATTGTATTATATTTTTATAGATTTTATCCTTCTGCTAATACTGTATTTGGGGCCATTTCTTTGATTTGTCTTCTGTTTGTATGTTTAAAAGCTACTGATGTCTGTATGTTAATTTTGCATCCCACTTCCTTATGAAATTCTCCTATTCATGGTAGATTTTCAGATGATTTTCTTAGGTATATACAATACGCAGTGCAATACAGTCATATATTCACCTACAGTTATAATTTTTTATCTCCTTATATGTCTTGAATTTGCATTTTTCTATTTCTGAGCATTACTACAAATAATGGTTATTACATTTTATCAAATGTATTTCCAGTGTATAGGAAGATAATCATACAATTTTCCCTTTATAACTTTTAATATAATAAAATATCTATTTTTCACTACTGAAGCATCCATGAATCATTGGATTAAATCTTCCTTGGTTCATGCACTCTTTTGACTATGTTAGTTTACTTTGGGGGGATTTTTATGAATTTCTACTAGGTGTTGGTACCCAAATGATGTTTACTTTATTCAAAAATCTGAGCTGGGCATGGAGGCTCATGCCTGTCATCCCAGAACTTCAGGAGGCCAAGGCAGGCAGATGGCTTGAACCCAGGAGTTCAAGACCAGCATGGGCAACATACTGAAATCCCATCTCTACAAAAAAATACAAAAATTATCCTGGTGTGGTGGTGCAGCTGTAGTCTCAGCTACTCAAAAGACTGAGGTGGGAGGATATCTTGAGTCCAGAAGTTTCAGGTTAAAGTGAGCGGTAATTGCACCACTGCACTGCACCACTGCACTCTAGCCTGGACGACTCAGTAAGACCCTGTCGCAATAGCAACAACAAAAAAAAAGACAAGAAAAGAAAAATTTTCCTTCTTTTTCTAAACAGCATACATGGCAATGGATTTGGAGATCCAAGGCCTAACCTCCATGTCCCCAGCAGGGCCTCCCACTTAACCTGCATCTTTCATGTCTCTTCACTATGCCAGTTACTTTACTTTAGTCAGGTGCACTTTACACTTTACTTTATGGTCAAGTGCAACAGAGTCTTTGTCCACAGATTTTGCCAAACTATTCACTTGGCTGTGGTTTCAATAGGTAATGTCTGAAGACAGTAGAAATACCAATTATCTATTCATACACAGCCTAACTAGATGACAAGGCATTTGCTTACCTTCAGAGTCATAGCTACACCTGTCATTTGCCTGGGCTTCTGTGTATTTATTTCTTCACTTTGATTTCAGAGCTCTGGGCAGAACTCACGTCACCATGTACCATAAGTCTTTATACAAATTAACTTTCAACATTTAATAACCAAAAACAGAAAGTTACCATTAGTGAACAAAACTGTAGGTCTAAAATCCAGACACTGAAACCACATGATTGTATTAATAACCCAAACTTCCAAGTCAAAAACTTTTGTAGTAATCAGATATGTCCCTCCATTGGAAATTTACTCTCTGTGGTACCTACTCTATTGTAAAAGTAAACAGTGCAATTCTGGTGTTTCTAATGACAATTTAGTACTTTACAATTTCTGTTCAGAATCCTCTTTAAAGAAAATAACATCTTAACTCCCCAAACTAGATAGGAGATGATAGAAATAGCCAAGGATCTAAAGAGACGAAGAGGTTGTATGAAGACAAATGAATACAAGATTGTCCTTCATTCAAATGCTCCAATCACAGCACTTCAGGAAAAGTACAAATTTATATAGACAAAGCACCAGAATCACGAATAAAGCCAGTATTCTTGGGAGGTTGCAGGTAATGGGGGATGAAGAATTATCTCCCTTACCAGTTTTCAAACTTAAGTAGACAAAAGTGCCTTTCTACACCAAATACCTCTGCCCTACCTTGCATTGCCATGCCCTGCCTTGGGTGACATTTCAGGATATAGGACAAGAGCCAAAGAAATTCTCACAGTAAATATTCAAGAGAGCAAATCTTGGAAATACAAGCTCCCATGCACATCCACTTTGACTAGAAAGGCAAGTTTTTATAGTGCTAACTAACAGCTTCTGATTTGTCATCTCAGAGTTTAAGATACATGTAGGCTCAGTAGAACACAGTGAAAACTACCATTTTGTGATTTACCGTGATCTGTCACAGCAGCACCCTCCTCCCATAGCTTCCTCTGTTCTTTAGGTGCCTCTCCACTAGCTGTTTTTCTGATGTTCTGTACTGGGTAAGGCGGTTTTACAAATGGGCTAGCCTTCATTCCTCCTTTTTTGTAATGGTGCTCAATTTCCTTTTTGAGGATATAGATCTGCCCTATATCCTCAAAAGGACTGTTAATTAAGTTTCCTTCACCTTGAGCAATAGAGCAGTATATAACCCAAGATAAGCCAGTAGGCTTTCAGCACTCTGAATCTGGAGTGAAATGCGATAAGGAAGGGAAACCTGTGGAGTTTATGGATCCCCATGAAAGTGCACTGAAGGGACTTCTGTCAGTCCTGCTACCTTGACCTCCTAGAGATACCAAAGCCTGGTTTCTCCAGCCCTCCGCATTTGTGAGCTAACCCAGTAAATTATTTTGTTAAGTTATCTGCTACTCATTTCTTTACTTGCAACTGAATATATTGTGAGTAGGCCGTAAT